AATGAAGTAAGTGATAGTGATGAAGAGTCAAGTAATGAATTCTTCACGGATGCTATAGAAAATGAGCATAATAAAAAAGAGTGGACATTAAAGTTAAATGTTCATAATAAGCGTAAACGGAACATAGTTTAGTTAAAACTAGATACTGGTGCTCAATGTAATGTAATTCCAGAAAGAATAATACATGAGTTAAGTGCTAAAGTCAGTAAGACAAATGCAAGATTGATTACCTATTCTGGAGAAAGAATCAAACCAATAGGTAAAGTAACCCTTGTTTGTGAGCACAAAGATAAATATTTTGATGTGGAATTCCAAATAATGAATCAAAATGTACAGCCAGTGTTAGGACTTGTCAGAGACTAGGCTTAATTAAACGTGTAGAAACATTTCATTCCAACACGTATCATGATATGATAAATAAATATGATGTGTTTGAAGGTTTAGGGTGTATTAAAGGTGAACAACGTTTACATGTCAAACCTGAAGTTAGACCAGTTGTACCTAGAAGTGTTCCTGTACCACTACGAAATAAAGTTAAAGCAGAGTTTAAAAAAATGGAAAAACTTGGAGTAATAGTTAAACAATATCAGCCAACAAAATGGGTTAGTAGTATGGTTGTAGTAGCTAAAAAGAACAAGAATAGTGTTCGTATATGTCTAGAAAAAAGATCTTAATGAAGCATTAGAGCGTGAACACTATCCAATGACAACTATTAAAGAAGTAGTGACAAAACTTTCTAATGCTAAAGTGTTTAGTGCATTAGATGCTAGTAGTGGATATTGGCAAATACAGCTTGATAATGAAAGTTCTAAACTGTGAACTTTTAATAGTCCTAATGGAAGACATAGATATACTAGGCTACCTTTCGGTATTAAGTCTGCACCAGAGATCTTCCAAAAAGTAATGACCAAAATGTTTGAGGATATAGAAGGTACAGAAGTAATAATGGATGATATATTAGTGTGGGGTGAAGATCAGAAACAACATGATGAACGTCTTGAGAGAGTACTCAAATGAGCTAAAGAACAAAACCTTCAATTAAATCCGGATAAATGTAAATTTGGTTTAAATGAAGTAAAATACATTGGACATACCCTTACATCAGAATTCCTAAAGCCAGATGAGAGAAAAATACAAGCAGTGCAAGGAATGCGTAAACCTACAAATAAGAAAGTATTACAGCAATTTCTAGGTATGATAAATTATCTTGGGAAGTTTATATCGCATCTGAGCAATGTCACACAACCACTAAGAAAACTTCTTAAGAAAGATATTGACTAGTAATGGCATGCTGAACATGACAAAAGTTTTGAAGAGTTACAATGCTTAGTAACAGAAGCTCCAGTTCTTCAATACTATGATGTAAATAAATCAGTAACAGTCAGTGTCGATGCATCAAGCACAGGTGTAGGAGCCGTATTGCTCCAGAAGGACATCCAATAGCGTTTGCATCAAAAGCACTTACAGAGTCACAAACTAGATATGCTCAAATAGAGAAAGAGTTAGCATCAGTAGTGTTTGGATGTGAACGTTTTCACAAATATCTATATATTATGGCAGATAATTTGTAGTAGAAAGCGACAATAAGCCACTTAAAGCTATTATGTAGAAAGCCCTAGCAATGACGCCACCAAGACTACAAAGAATGTTAATAACATTGCAGAAATACAGTCTCGAATTGATTTACAAGAAAGGTAAAGTACTGTATATAGCAGATGCATTGAGTAGGAATCATCTACCAGATGTAGAAACAGAAAAAGAAATACCAATATACATGGTAAAAAATCTACAAATTTCAAATGAAAGGCTAGTAGAAATTAAACAAGAAACTACAAATGATAGCACTTTGACAAAACTAAAGGAAGTTATCAGAGAAGGATGGCCAAGTAACAAAGCGATCCTAGATACTGAGTTAAAACCATACTGGGACTACAGACAGGAAATATTAGTGGAAGATGAGCTATTGTTTAAAAATGACAGAGTAATAATACCAGCCAAAATGAGAAAACAAATGATTGCAAAGCTTCATGTAAGTCATCAAGGTATTGAAAAAAACAAGCGACGTGCGCGATATATTATGTTCTGGCCTGGTATATATGCACAAATAGCGGATACAGTGAGCAGGTGTGAGATTTGTCTAACACACAGAAATCGAAACGCAAAAGAACCAATGATTAGACATGCCATACCAACATGTCCATGGCAAAAAGTCGGAATTGATTTATTTGAACTGTACGCAAGACTATCTATTGATAGTTGATTACTATTCAGGATACTTTGAAATAAATCAGTTGACAAGTACAAAATCAAATTCAGTCATCAAATTCTGTAAGCAACAATTTGCGAGACATGGAATCCCAAGTGAGGTAGTGTCAGATAATGGACCTCAATTTCCATCAGCGGAGTTTAAGGCTTTCAATAAATCATATGAATTTGAACATATTTTAGTGTCACCAGATTACCCGCAATCAAATGGAAGAGCTGAAAAGGAAGTACAAACAGCAAAGTTGATACCTAAGAAAGCAAAGGAAGACAAACAAGATCCATATATAGCGTTTACTAAACTATCGCAATACGCCGCGAGATGGACTACCGTCCCCAGTTCAATTGCTAATAAGCCGTAGAACAAAACGCAGTTGCCAATGTCAGAGAAACTCCTAAAACCGAAAACTAACAAAAATATTGTCAAAACGCTACAAAACAAACAAAATTAACAGAAAACCTATTACGATCGTGGAGCAAAACCTCTCAAAGCACTGAAAAGTGGAGATAGAGTTTGTGTAAGAAAAGATACACAATGGAAGCCAGCGCTAGTTGTTGAAAAACACAATACGCCAAGATCGTATATAGATGAAAGCGATGGTAGATACTACTGGAGGAATCGTAGAGATTTGATTAAACAAGAAGGATGTCAAAATACTTAAAACTGGCGAATAGAACCAAATAGCACAAGACAGAACCGGCTTTGCTACACGAAACGTAACAGAAAACCTGTTACAAAACTTGATCTGTGATTATATGAAAAGGGCAGAATAATCCCTGTATAGGCTAATCACTGTGCTATGATAGTCTACTTCGGAGCACAGAGGTTAATGAACATTCAGAATTGTAGTTATTATTAGTTTATTGTAGAATTGTTGTATCAAATGAAAGAGAATGTTTTACCTGTTGAGGATTGTTTATTAAGGAAAAGGAAACTAAAGTGCTAAAAAGAAATATTAGATAAATAGATTCTTTAAAGAAATAAAAGTTAAAAAAAATAAATATAAATAAAAAAATGGAGATCTAATGAAGGTACTTAAGATTATGAGTGAGCCCTCTATTGTATGATACATAGAATAAGGACACATGAGCCTTAAGGCAGTTGATAACAAGATACCAATAAAGGAACATACAAGAAGGTCAGAATAGCCTACTGTATATTATTTTATACAACATATCATTACAATCGCATCGGGACAAGCATCATGAAAACGCCACACTAATATTTATTTAATAAGCGCCGATCTTGAATAAGCGCCGCACTGAAACCAACAAAAATTGTATAAGCGCTCTTAAAACAAAAAGGCAGTATCTCCGAAAAGAGACGGACACAAATTTGAGATTCAACTTTTTGGTCTATTTGATCATTGTCTCAAAATGTCTCTGTCTATTTTCGGAGTTAATGTATTTTTGTTTTATTTAAGACTAATTAGTAGATCCTCTGGTTTTTGAAAACTGCGGCTCTTATTCGAGGATTTAAGGTATGCTTTTTGTCATTATTAGAAATGCCAAAATTAAACACTATTCCTGATATTTGGTGGAAGCGGTTGGCGCATCGGTTGTGGCTTGGACTCCCAACCTTGAAGTCAGGGGTTCGGAACTCTCGCTGTGCAAGTCGATTGTGCCCTTGGGCAAGGCACTTTATCTACGTTTGTCTCTCTCTACCCAGGAGTATAAATGGGTACCCAGTGGTTTACTACTGGGGAGGAAAAAGGTGGCTTGGAAAGGAACTGGCCACCCTACCACACAATACCGAGGCTTAGTACAATGGGCTAACAGCTCATTCCCTACGTTTAGTAATGAGTACGGGACTACCTTTACCTTTACTTTACCTGATATTTATGAAAAACAAATTGGCATAAACTGTACTTACAAGCCATTTTCTAAATAATTATTATTTCCCTTAGTATTCAATCTACTTCCATTTCGCTTGTAATAATGTCTTAGCATTCATTTTAAACGATATAAACCTTTCATCCCGTTTCATTATGAGAAGAAATGTAATTATATATAATAATGTAATTATATATATATTAAATAATAATTTATATGTATATAAGTTTTTTAAATAATAAATGTACAATGGCGCCTCATATTTCAATATTTTTATACGTAACAGAAGAATTGAAATTGATATTTAGAACCAATTATTACATTAACAGTTTAAATATCCTTTAATTACCTACCAGACTATTCATTTATTAATGTTTGCTCATTGTCTTATGCATTTATCTGTAGCTTGTATAATTATTTCCGAAGGAAATGATTTTTTATACCGCCTTGATTCGGTTTTTTTTTTCATATTTAAATTTTGTCCATATATTTCTTGTATTTTCCTTAGATGATGTAAGGTATTCCTCATCTATAATCTGAACTAGATAGGCATACATTGATTTCGTAAAGATTGGATAAAATGTGACCAGACACACAACAGTTTGTTGTGCAAAGACAAATTAAATAGAGAGTAAGCCATGGTAAAGAGAGTAATATTTACATTAGGAAGACGGTAGTTAAAGTGATTATAAAGTTAGGGGCAGCACATTTTCAATATGAAAGATAAATATGAAAAAAAAGCAATCAACAAGTCATCATTAACCAATAGTCTAATAGAAGTAACCTTAAAGATGTCACATGTTATAAACTCCGTTAGCCGAGGGTCTCTATTGACATTAACCTTACACATTTTATTTTACAGAAAAATGCAAGCGCAGTATACTAAAAAATAACAAAAAAAAAGCTTCATCGACAACAGAAATTATAAATTTATTCAATTCATATCAATATCCATATCAATATAAGCTACATAACCAAATACTAAATAATTAATTATACTAATATAAGTCTCATGATCATCATGCCTTTTAATTGCGTGCTATTTTTGTATAAGTTTAGGTATACATATGATATATTAATGTCCTGGAACTTGATATGTATTGCCTACTAGTCTCTATTAATTGGTGCCTTTAAATTGAAGATTAATTATTACAAGTTACGGTTATTACAAGTTTTTCTCATTAAACATTAATACACATAGGTATTTAAAAATCAAATATGTATGTGTGACTATGTTATCGACCTTTGACGTCATAACTAGGGTGAGTCTCAGACTGCCAGTTATTTTTAGAACTTTTCTGAATAGTATTTTTTTTTTCATTTTGGTTTAAACAACAGACTTTTCATAACTCAGGCTTATTGTATTTTGAGTTTTTGTTTGTTGTTTTCTTTTCCTTTACTTCTTTGTCGTTGTCTTTAAAAATGCTGACATGTGTTTTTAAAGACCCGTATTTACACAATTCACTTTTGCTCGACTTCCGTCGGTTCGTACTCGAACTCCAGTCCAGTTCCTTTCAGTCCATCTCTCAATACAGAATCCATTAGTTTGTTCTGCGCAACCGTGAAATGATTCATCCAATCGCCAACGCCACCTGAATTATTATAAAAAAACGTGCAGAAACAGTTATCATTTTTATACTCGGTGTTATGCTCAGAAAATAATGTAATATTATCGTTTAGTGGAAATCAATGAATGAATTAAAACACACCATCTCTGTCTGTGTGTATGCCACAGAAATTAATTATACATCATTATTCCTCAGGCATCCACTTTTTTTATATGTACAAATATATTATAACCGACAATTACTATTGCAGACCTTTACCCATGTTGTACTCGAATACTGAAGTTCAAGATGTAACTGATGTATGAAATTTGTCAGTTCATTCCTTTCTATTTTTTGTATGTTTATGTTTAACAGGTGGATTATTACGTTGTATAAGAAAATCGAAAAATTCAGTTTAAAAAATATATATTTATATACTCGCTACATAACCAAACCATATCGATCCAATTTCGGCTATGTGAATATAATGCGTAATTAATTTTAGAACAGCACCAAAATGTTATTGCCGACCGTGGAATACTATCAAGATTTTAAATGACACTCCGACGGCTCAAACTTCATGACTTCTTGATTTACCTTTCCTCATAAATTTGGATACATTTAGGTCAAAGTCCTTGAGACCTGTAAAATTTGCCATTGGATTCTTGCTCATTTTCTTGAATGTGCACTGGTCAACGGTCTTCTGGAGGGCTTCTTCAGACAACTTCTTTCCTAGATGGTCGCAAATCTTTATTACGGCTCCGCGAAGATCCTATAATGTCAATTTAAAGTGTGTATAACATCTGTCTGAGCCAATTTTTCAAAATCTATGTTGTTGTAGCTGCAATTTTTCAGAAATGATGACATTTTGAACAATTGTCTCTACACTCTTACATGTTATTTACTATTAATGCCAAGTAGACAGGCATTCCAAACAGTTTTTAAATGATTAAAGAGTGAACTTATTTTCAAGTAGGCCTCCTCATTTTGGATCCCATTTTGGAACAATTTGTAACCATAATAATTGGTACTATTTAAAAAGTTATCTAGGACCACAATCTAAAAAGTCCCACATTATTGGCATATTAGGGAAAAAGGCTGACTTTATTTATGCAAAATTAGAAAAACAAATAGACACGCTTGCCTTCATTTCACACATTAGTACCTTTATTAATAATTAAATCACGGCCCAACTTAACTCACATCGGTTTGGAGTATGTAGATTGTCTTGAGAACCAAGATAGTTTGGGAAAAACGAAATTTTCCGTTTTTTTTTTTATTTACTTTCATTTTATTTTATTTTTTAATTTCAAACATCTTTAGGCAGGATAACTTATACTGGCGAGATCTTACCGCTGTTTTACAATATGGTCCTGCAAAAACACAGTAAAATAACAACAACAAAAATTAACCAGCACAGTACAATAAAATAAACAATAGTAAAAACGTTGGTGGAAAAGTATCCCCCGCCGGACATCAACCCGGTACTTCAGAGTCAATGTTTCGGGACCAGGAATTTTGGCTCAAGGTTAGGCCTAACTACAACTTAACTAATATATGGTAAAAACTATCCCCTGCCGGACACCAATCCGGTATTTCTGAGTCAAGGTTTCGGGGCGGGGATTACAAGGTAGGACAAATACTGTACAATTACTTTAATAGATAAAAATAGTAGAAACTATCCCCCGCCGGACACCATCGGGGTATTTCTGAGTCAAGGTTTCGGGACTGGGATCACAACTTTTATCTTGACTACAAACCTAATTAAACAATGCTAAAAACTATCCCCCACTGGACACCATCCTGGTACTTCAATTCTGAGTTTCAGGGCCGAGATTAAATGTTAAAAACATAGACAAAGAAAATATATAAGGAAATGAATTGTGATAATCAGAAAATGTGTTTCTTATAAGTAATCTTGACTAAATTAAGAAATTGACATTTTTGAATTCTGGTTGGGATTTTGTTCCTAACTTTTGCTCCAGAGATTTTTATAGAGCCATTCATTACAGAGCAATTTGGAATTGGGGGGAAAACGTTAAGCGAGTGAGCGTATCTCGTAGGATATCCATGTCGGTCAACAACCATTTCTATATCATTACATAAGGGGGAAGGTGCAACACCATTTATACATTTGTACATTAAACATGCTAGGGCGTAATCTCTACGTTTATCAAAAAGTTTCCAATTATTTTGCTAAATAACATCAATTCCACGAAAAATTATAAAATCAAAATTATTTTTAACTATTTTAGCAGCTCGTTTTTGTAGCTTTAATAGAATGTTTTTCTTTTGGCCTGACGTAGTTCCCCACACTGAGATTGCATAGTACATACATGGTTGTATTGTACTTCCATAAAGAATATTTAGAAAAGATTCATTTAGTGTTTCCGCCAATTTATTTAGAATGTTAATTTTGTACCCAATAGTTTTATTTAATTTTCGAATATGGTCATTCCAGGTAAGGTTTTCATCAATTTGAAGTCCTAAATAACGGATGTATTTTTACCTCATCAATAGTGTCATTACCAACATGAATATTCAAAGAGGAAAAAGGGCGAACATTTCTATTTTTTATAACATAAGTTTAAAAAAAGTTTGGTTTTGCTAGAATTTACAAGTAATTTATTAAATTTATACCAATTTGCGACATTATTCACTATTGATTTTAATTTGATATTGATATTTTCTACTGATTTGTCAGTAGTGTAGATGACAACATCATCCGCATATATGCTACATGATCCTGGAGATACATGGAGTGGTATTTTCTGAAGACATATTGATGTACACTTATGAGATCATTTTCGTTTAGATAATTAACTACTTGATTTTGTATTTCTCTTTCAACAATTTTTGATATATGGCAAACCACGGAGAAGGGTCTATAGTTAGTCTTTGTCTGCTTACATCCACTACCTTTATAGATAGGTGTTGTTTTTGCGAGTTCTAATCCTCAGGAACAATACGCAGACTAATAGACACATTTATTATAGAGTAAAGATATCTTGCAATATATTGGGAGGCAATACTAAGCAATTTTGAATAAAAATTCAGAAGATCCAAATTACTGCTTTCGGACAGACCTGATAGGGTATTTTCAAATGCTATCATGTTAAAATTTAATTTGCGGATACATAAAGGATGTTTCCATTCAGGTGTAGTAACAAAAGATTTAGAAATTTCCTTTTCAATACTTGAGAAAAAATATTAAAGCTTTCATAATTTAGGTCAGGGTACAAACTATTTCTATTTTAATCCTTCCCTATAGTTCTGCCTAGTTCCTCCCATATTTTTTATAGTTATTTTTGTATCTGTTTTCAACATTATCAAAGTAATTTAATTTTGCTTTCCGAATTTTGCTTGTTACTAAGTTACGTAGTTTACGATATTTGTTTAAATGGATATCACTCCTATATTTATCAGAAAGATGCTTTTCGTGGTCTCTTTCATACATAAGTTGTATTATATCTGGGCTCATCCAAGGAGTAAAACGATCTTAAACACGCATTGTTTTTAAAGGAGCATGTTTATTAGGGCCTACATATATTTTAAAAAGGAATCCCTCCATTCATTCCAGTATACATCAATATCACTATAATTATTATTATTAGTTGACAGAATACTTGAGCTGCTCAGGCTATTTATGAATAAATCTGTATTGGAGTGTTTAAATTTTCTAAATGTAATTGTTCTTTGTTCCTTAATGATATTTAGTATTTTAATGCACGTATAAATGAAATAATGATCACTAAGTGAAATTTTTGCAACTTCTGTGTAAATAATATGGCAATCTGAAATTTAAGTAAGAATCTGATCAATACATGTTGCAGTGGCTTTTGTAATACGTGTTGATTTATTTATTAGTTGTCTGAGTGCAAACATATTCTCTATTTGATTTATAGGATTTGAATTCAGGTCTATATTTAGGTTATAATTGACATACTGAAATCTCCCAAAAGGACTGTTTTTTTTTTTTTAATTTTCATTTGCAACCTTCTCGAACTTTTGTATAGTAAGAATGATGTAAGACTTTTTAGCCTTAGGGGGACGATATAAAGATCCCACAAGCATATTTTCATTATGTTTGTTAGGGATTTCAACCCATATTGCTTCCATGTTAGAAAGGGTGTTAAAGTAATTTCTTTCAATATAAGGAATTTTATCTTTAATATATAAACATACTCCACCACCTATTTTTCTTTCCATTAATAATATTCTTTTCCCTATCTCTTCTAATTACACTATAACCATCTATGTTTACAAGATTATCACTAACATCAGCAATTAACCAAGGTTTCAGAGATACATAATACATCAAGTTTAGTTTTGAAAAATAGAAAACCTATTTCATCAACCTTATTTACTAGACTTCTAACATTAATATGACCAACTGTAAAACCATCGCTATGTTTTAACCTATTCGCACATTTGTCATAAGCGGAGGTATAATTAGTAAATCCAGGTAGTGTATGCCTATAATTGCACTTATATTCTTCATCCAATTCGTCATCATTAATATCATCAAACTCAATATCACTGTATTCATATATATCATCTTCATATGAATCATTATCCATATATTCATCATCTCCATCAACATTATTGTTAACGTATATACCGTTAATTTCATCATTTTGGGTATCGTTAGTATTATTACCAATATCGACATCAACAGCATCATTATCATCGCCACAATTAATATTCTCATCCACACAAATTCCATTCCGTGATCTAAGAGGCACACCTTCACCCAAAATGCTTAACTTCTATTAATTTTAAACACTTTCGATCGTTTAAAAATGTTTACTTACTCGCTTCATATCCTCGTACTTCAAGAAAAGAACCTTTTTATCATGACGATTCTCCCACCAGCTGGTCACGTGATGTACCCAAGATCCATACGGAGCTATTAGTTTAACATAAACAAAATTTAAATTTAAATATTCCACGCTTCTCGTCGCGTTGCGTTCTTAATGAAATCGCGTCGGTCGACGACCGTCCGCGCAGTGTGCTTCGGTTTTAAATCAAATTTTAAATCTAGCGTAAACCAAAGTTATAGAAAAGCGTTGTATCTTAATCAAGGCATGCTTACATTGCATTGGAATCATCATTTTGAGCAGAAAGTCTTCCCAACTACTCATTCTTTGGTCGTCCGTGTAAGCTGTAAACATCCTTAAGAAATGGAACGCCGAAACACAGATGTCTTTATAGTTTCTTGCAACGTAGATTGCCTGTTTTTTAAAATGTATTTTTTAAAATTGTCAATATTTTAGCCACAGTAGCTTTTTATTTTATTATAATTATTTTTAACAAGTTTAAAAGTATAATTGTACACTAATTGCAAGAAAAATATAAATATTAAACGCTCACTCTAATATTACTCTTTCCCGAGTAAAAAACGTAATGAGCAGGGGTGGCGCCAAAGGGGTCTGGGGGCTATAGCCCCCCGTCGTGGAAGCATAGCCCCCCGTCGGAGAAGCATAGCCCCACCGCCGGGGAAGACGATAAATTTTGTCGGGGAACAAACAAATAAAAAAAAATATATTTACATGTAATATTCGTTTAGCCACCATATCGTTGGTGTTAACTTTTCATCACAACAACAACCACAATAACAATATTAATAATAATAATAATAATAATAATAATAATAATAATAATAATAACAATAATAATAATAATAATAATAATTCAATGAGACTAATTAAAAATAATTTGCGTTCTGTTATGACAAATGCTCATTTAGATAGCCTCATGGTGGTTGGAAGTCATATTATAGTAACTCGATGCCTATCAAATAAGTAATACAAATTCGCCATAATTCATCAAATATCCGTGGCTTCCAGGGGGCCCCTGGACCCCCACCGGATGCCCTAGGCGGCCCCCTGGCCCCAGCCAAGTGAGACTCGATTCGCTCCACTAGCGCCCCCCCCCCGTCGGGGCCTTTAGCCCCTCCGTCGGGCAGGTCCTGGCGCCACCCATGGTAATGAGTGATTGATATTCTATAAATACTGGATAATAAAATGTCACTTCTTTTACATTCATTCTAATTCTATTAGAATTAGCCTTGAATTACATGTCGGTCTTTTCACTCTTTTACATTTAGAAAGTTTTATCATTATTACTACAATTCTGTAGGACTATCATCGTAGTAAACATCATTACAACAACACCACTTTGAGTTTCAACATCATAAATCTAATAATGACTATCTTAACATTACAATTATCACAATCATTATCATCGTCGTTACTATCATAATAATCATAACCTGTAAAACCGTCATCCTAACCATTACAACCACCCACCATATTTATTATTGTCATTACTATCTTCATCATCATGATAAGTATCAGCGTCATTTTCACTGAGATAAGCTCAGTATTAGAGCAGCTTAGATCAGTCGGCTAATCTGGTGGTAACCATTGTGTGTGAGCTGAACCGTAGAGATATATAGGTCCCCGGTTCAATTCCCATCGCTGCCTCTTATTGTGTATCAACTGGAGGGCTCAAATACAAGTTACAATAGCGCACCGTCTTTCAGATGTGACGTTTAAGCCGTTGGTCCCGTGTACATTTTGTGGCCCATGTGCACGTTAAAGAACGCAGTACACTCTACGGAAAAGGGTAGGGTACGGTCTGCAGGGGTACTGTCGATTTGAAGGAAAATAATGGAAATAAGTCGTCTTCTAGACTTTTGCGGACTATCCTTGGTATTTACACCAAATAAATCTAATCCAATTGTTAAGTCAACTTTAATACCACCTGAAACTTAGGTCTTTATTTATATGATTATATTTTGTAGTTTACTTTATTTGCTGCCCGACAAGGTTAATTATACTCCAAGAGATACATTAAACCATTGACATGTTATTAATATTGCTAATTTTCTTAATTATTTTACCATTGATGTTTATGTAATCGTTCTTTATGTTCTTTATGTTCATTTACCTTTGCGTTCTTTTTGTGGAAGTTAGCTGGCATTGTATCAAATGCCATGTGAGTTTTGATAAGTCTTGGTTTATCACGTGGCATGTTAGCAATTTTCTTGTACAAGATGTTTCCAGGTTTAGCCGTACTCATCTCAAGGTGTGGCACTCTTTCCTCTACGTGAATTGATGTTATCTTTTCTACGTCACCATTATAGTAAATCATTGATATAATCTCTTGCAACCAAGTTGTTCCTGTAAAAAAAAACATACATTATTGAAACTTTATTAACAAGCTGTAATCGGTACGATTTTTGCCGAATGAAATGCCTGGCCTTTCCTATAACCCTAAAAGTTTACACATCATTGAAACTTTAATTATTTAACTTTCATATTGGTAATATTGCGTTTCAGTTTCGTCCTTTCATTCAGGATGTACCAATGGGATGTGTTGATCTGCCTTTGAATACTCCTGTTTTACCTGCGTCTAACCTGTGCAAACCCTCCCCATTTTCTACACCAGTTGTAATAAAAGTGTATGTTGAATGTTTTTAAATTTATAAAAGTAGTTTATAATGAGGCGGTACTGAGCAAAGACGAAATGATTTCCTGCTCTACAACAAGACATCTATCCTTGTGTCAACGTGGAAGCCTAATACGTTTCATAATTTGATATCGATTACCGAACTTGATAAATGTTTATGAAGCACAGCAATGACAATAAGGTTGTTTAATGTATAATAAATCACATTATTGGGCAGATGATTTTACATACACTTTAAGTTACCGCCATTATTTTTCTTTGTAAATTAAAGAAAAACTTATAAATGTAGAATTTAAATGTTTGTTTACTATATAGGCCTACATTCAAAACTGGATTTTACAATTATTGTTATTTTGATAGTTATTAGAATTGTACAGTAAAACAGAGTTACGTTCAATTCCACCTTACTAACACAATTTATTATAATCTCGAGTGTTGATTTTATACAAACACGTTTCCTCGTTTTATAATATTTTATAAACTTGGTGTAAAATTATTATTTTATGAGTCAAATTATTATGTTATTTTAAACGAGACAAGTAGGGAAAAACCTTTATAATAAAAGTATGTTCTTAAATATCGGCCTAGTATTTCTTATATAATTGTGAGGGCGAAACGATGTAACTTACAAAAGGTATTCCTTACTCAGAGTAGTATAATTGAAAGATAGGCCATAAAGAAAGTTACATAAGCCTGTCGTCTGCTCGTATTTGTTAAATGATAGACTGTATATGAACCAGCGTTAAAAAATATCGGAAAGATGTTATAATATAACAAGTTGTACAGTATGTGTTCCTTTTGATGTCTTAATTTCAAGAAACCTGACTTCTTTGTGCGTTTTTGACAGGCAAAAATGCAAATATCTCTTTCCTTATTTGCTTGATAACTCAAACCATACTGCAACTTTATAGTTTCATTTTCTTAATCAATAGTTTTGTAATCATGTTTGCATCCTATTAAGTAGTTAGTGAGAATAACGTCATCATGTTATATACTATAACAAATTGTACAGTATGTGTTCCTTTTGATGTCTTAATTACAAGAAACCTGACTTCTTTGTGCGTATTTGACAGGCAAAAATGCAAATATCTCTTTCCTTATTTGCTTTGATAACTCAAACCATACTGCAACTTTATAGTTTCATTTTCTTAATCAATAGTTTTGTAATCATGCTTGCATCCTATTAAGTAGTTAGTGAGAATAATATAAGTTAAAAACATGCTTTTTGTTTTGGCCAAATGATTTTTAGGAGCACAGAATAATTAAATGCATGATGTTTCAAACTTTATTAAATAGTTAGAAGCTCGATTATGTAGATTTTACCAGTGGTTGCAATTTAGATTTAGGCCTCAGTAAAACGAATCATATTTTTAAAAACCCTCATATCCAATTTTAATGTGCTAAGAGATCGTTCCACTGGCGTTTCAATGCATTTATTAGGACAACCAGAGTGTCAATATTCATTTAATATATTTTGTGTCGGAAAACAGAAACGAAAGTGTAAACAATGCCAATCACAACTACCATGGTTCAAATAGAATGAGGTATGTTCCATATTTAGATTTAAAACATAAATTCACAATTTCTAAAATCAGATGAACATTGAGGGGGCAACAGTCCAATGTAGGCCTACACTGCAATACCGTTATAGTTTAAAGTAAACAGTTGGCCAGATATCATGACCTTCACAAGTTTTGAAAAGTCGTTTAAATATCAAATAGACGAATCCATTGAACCGGTACCTACATTAAGTGCATTAGGTACAACTGCCAATTATATTTTACATCAATTTTAACAGCTAATAATATTGCTAGAAATCTTTTAGACATACCGGTATTTACAATCACTTCTATCACATCTTACCTGATTTTGGAAAGGAAATAACGTACACGTCATCATTTCTAACCTCGAATGTTTTCAAAGCGTCCAATGTGACGGCGTGAACAAACCACGGATAGGGAACGCCTTCATAGACATGGATACCTGATCCAGCCTGGAACTCGATGTCAGGATGCTCAGTTGCTGATTTGAGTGATTTCTCTGTTTCCATGGTTCTAGATTTTTGTAATGTAGAAGAAAATAATTCTCGTTTTAAACAGTGAATAGAGTAAAATTATTACCAGGCCTATTGCTCAGTAAAAGTAAAATAGTCCTAATATTTGGTGTGTTGTCATATATTGTGAAACCATTGTTATGCTCACCCCTAATGAAATGATCGGATCAGTTTCATCCAACAATCCAACCCTCTTTACTATAGGAAACATTTTGAGTCATTGATCACATTGGCTGTTAGCTATAATAGCGTAAACTAATTTACACAATATTCAACTTTCAAAAAATATATACATAAAAATGTTGTTTAAATATGACATTAAATCTCCCTCTTAAAAGTTTCAATACCTGGGGACTGCTGTATCCGCCCGCCTATTGGGATGAATGAGGAGGTACACCGGGAGATAATCCACTATCTGAAACGTATATTTCTGAACCACAGCACGATGTAAACAGTATATGACTTTATGTTATAAAATCAGGAACACAAAGTCTCCATTGCAGTAACGTAACAGCTATGAGCTCCTAAGGGCTCAAAACCTAACCCAGGGGCTGTGGGCCAGAGTCTCTTCGTACAGTACGTCACTGCTCCATGATTCAGAACTTAGCACACACGGTGGCTATCACGAGTCTTAGCTAAATGAGGGATGTTGTGGCAAAATTTCTAAGTTGTAGCAAAAATTGAAATTCAAGTTATTGGTATTTTCAAATACCTGAGTATGTGATCTTTAAAATGAGGGGTCATTCATTCAAATTGGACATATCAAGCCTAAGTTATTGGAAAGTGAAAATACAGTACTCTAGAGTCAAGATAAACATGATTTTGAGTATTTGCCTTTTAAAGTTATTTTTGCATATATTGTTTAATAGAATGAACTACCAAAATAATGTTAAATAAACGATTTGTTAACTACTTCCAGAACCAATACTTTGGGACATGATTAATAAGACAATTAACTGTTGATCTATAGTGAAAAAACAAATTTGGAATTTTAGGCAATGTTTTGAGCTCCCATATTTTATAGCTCATTTACTCAATACTGGACTGTGCGACAACTTAAGCATTTCGTCACGACATGCCTTAAATGCGACATGCAGTTTAGGGGTTCTTAATTTGTTAGCCTAGGCTATCCGAAGTGATAACCTTTTATCAATACCTAAAAATATATCTCTACCCCTAGCACAACAACTGATATGCTATTTTTACTTGTTTATATTAGGTTTGACCGATGACATTGTAGTATGATCATTGATTGATATTTAAATCTTGTTTGTATAGGTTTTTTATTGGTTTACACATTTCAATGATATCAGTGTTATAAACGTAATACCATTGCTATACCCTCGTACGACATCGCACTGTACTTTACTTTACTCTACTCATATCAGTCAACATAGAAAAAAGTTTCTGCCAGGTGGGCTAATGAACCAGGGATACCGCCATTAACGGTCATGAGTGCAACAACATTAGTCGGGGTAACATCCAATGTTATTTTTGCAAACTATGAGATTGTAACGTCTATTAAATAACCATTTCAAATCCCTAAATTGTTAAAGCTTCAGGCGGCATAGCCCGTTGTTATACCGGTTCCGTTATTGTCTCATCCGGGACATTTATCCACCTTCCGTCGCGAAAATCGACCCCTCCTGGTAGAACTATTAAAATGAATACTTTTCGAATACTTGTATCGCATTTCTTTTTATGTTAGATGAGGTCACTGACCTTTAAAATATACAATTACTCAATTCACGGGTATAATTTATACACACACACACAAAAAAAACAAAAAAAAAAAACAAGCAATACTATGCATCGCATGATCTCAGTACCTGGGATTGGTAACCTTTGCATGGTCTTACGACGTTTCATTTTTTAGGCACTTCCAGACAGATTAATTTTTTTTTTAAATTTTAATATTATTTTTAATATTTTTCAGCTCTTAACTTTAAGTTAATTTGGTAGTAGATAGGTCAAACATTCATGTTAGTGAAATGAGCTAGTATTCTTACAGAACTTCTAGAATAATTGCTAGGAGAAAACATATTGTTAATGTTCATTTAAATTCCTTACTGCATGTTTAAGTACGGTATGTTTGCATTTTTATTTAAAGTATTTTTGCCCTCCAACCACAATTGTGCTTGGTTTAAAATAACAAAAACAATTATGATTTTCAACATAGTACCAACTACAACGTATTTCTAGGTTTGGGTTTAAATATATACTGTCTTTTTTGAGCCAAAAAGTATCAAATAAGAGATCCTAATTGAATAGAATATACACCAGATATAGGGCCTTTGCATGGAGTATATTCCCAAGTACTCACATAATAGACATAGCAATACTTGGAGTATGTATTATACTATCTTATATAAACTTAATCAGTGGACCTTTCGGTTTTAAATATGTAATAGTCTGCACTCACCTATCTGCCGATGGTGCTCCGATGTTACTTGTAAACAATGAGGTGATTTTTGTCGGCAACGTGAGTTGTTTTTATAACAAGGGGGTTCATTGTAAACGAATCGTCCAATCGCGTTAGACGTACAAATCAAAGACTACTACTGCAAACTGGCAAACGGCTTTAGGTCACGCAAGTGCACAACGCTGTTTCTATCTTGAATAAATAGTGATTTGAATGTCGAAAGCGAAAGATAAGACATTGCCTAAATCTGTGACTATACAGTCTGTAACAACGTAGTAAGTACAGCATTGGGGCGGATGCAGTGGGGGGAGGGGATGGAGAAGGTGCGATCGCACAACCTTAAATTGTATTAGGAAAAATAAGTTTTGTAATATATTATTGATATGAATTATTGGTGATAGTTTTAAGGTACACCCGGGCACCCAGAGATCTATATTATTATACAATTTTCGCACCTCAGTCCCAACCATGTTTGTACTGAGATGGTGAACACTCACGCAAACGTGGGCGCGGATCATGGGGAAGGGATATACGTCAATGGGTGGCGCCAGGATTTGCCCAACGGGGTGTCCCAGGTCAGTCCCCGACGGGCAGCCGATGTCCTCGACGAGAGGAAAAATTTTTCAGACTAGAACAAAGTGGGCGTGGTGAAACGTCGCTTTAAAATGCCTCGAAAGTAATCCTCGGAGCGAATCCCCCGAAATTTTGACAAATTAAAGGTTTCAAAGGCTTATTTATTCGATTTTAGAATCTACTAATATGTACAAAATACTTATAATTTGTTTTCTCCCCCACGAATTGTGTGGTTTTCTCTCCAATGGGGTGGGGGGGGGGAGCTGGCGCCACCCCTGTAAACGTCCCCTCACATATATTTTTTTAAAGGGGAAGGGTTGATCCCTTCACTTTTCCTTATGCCTGAAAATTGTTAATATAAATGCATAAATGACCCATGTTTTAACGAAAGAGCGCTGTACAGCCATAGTACATCTTGTTTTTTAGCAAGATACCTGTTTATCTGCTCAAGAACATCTGAATTACGTATAATACTCGATTCGAGTGCGCGTGTCTTTATTATAATTTGAGAAGTATAAGAAAAAGCGTGCAAAGATAAGATTGGGTTTCGGCACATGAAGTAGTATTTTCTATGGTACTTCACAACGATTAATTAGATCGATGATGATGATTTTACTATATAAGAGTGTCATAATATTACACTCTAATATAGTAAGATCCATCATCATCGCAACCTAGAGGTACAATTTCCCCAAATTGTATTTCCCCAAATTTTTTGTAAGTTTTACTTTCTATGGTAACGTACATCACACATATTAATTAGATATCTATGGTTGCCGAAAATAGCTGATAAAAGATCATGAGAATTTGTTGGCGCTTCATTTTGACTATATTATAATGGTGATGTGATGATGATGAATTGTACTATTTAAACGGATTTTAGGTAGGTCGAGTATATTAAATACATCAAAGAAAGTATTTCTTTAGTTTTATTTTCTATGGCACATCACTGGTATGAATTAGATCTCTGTTGCGAAAAATCCCTGAATACAGATCATGAGAAATATGCCTGCGATTCATCTAGACTAAATAAGGATTGTGAGATAATGGTGAATTTTACTGTATAAAAGTGTCATTTCCGGCCGGCCATCTAAAGGTACTCTTTTCTCAAATGTTCTCACCTCGGCCCCAACCATTTGATACATCAAAGAGAATGTATTTAAATTTTATAATATGTAGGCCTGGCCTACATTAAACATACTAATTAGCTATTCGTGGTTGCCGAAAATCGCTGATACTTTAACTATAAAATAGTGATGTGATGATGAATTTTACTATATAAAAGTGTCATTTCCGGCCATCTACAGGTACTACCGTATTTCCTTAAATTTTTGCACGCACCCCCCTACTGCCAAATCCTGCATCCGCCCAAGTCACTGTAATAATAAAAGACAACATTTTCGGAAGAGAAGAGACGTTTAAATCGTTGGCTTTAGCAATGTGCCCAATATTTATTTATCTGTATATTACTTTTTAAGATACATTTCCAGTGATCATTCTCCCTCTGTAGACGCACTAGTTAGAAGCTTCCGGTGCGGATGATGATGATGATGATGATGATAATAATAATATTAATGTCATCTTATTTGGCGCGCGTATCAATCTCTAGCAGAGCTACTTAAGCATCATCTGCTACAATATAAATATTAAAATTACAGTATTATCAGCATGCTGTTTTCATCACAATTGACTCAAAATACTTTACACCACTGTAGATGGTCATGGCATGCATCCATGGGACTCAAGCCATGGCTGCAAAATAGAGAGCGCACTTATCTTTTGGATTATTGTATAAACTATGTTACTTCTTCAATAAAATTATTTTTCTCCCATGGAACCCAATGAAATTAAATTGAATCACAAAAAAAAAAAAAAAAAAAAAAAATACAATATACCGTTATCCTAAAAGACAATACAATATCAATAAACATGTCACTGTTTCCTAAAATTAATTTTTCTTTCTACCAGATTAATTCTGACTTTAGGCTTTGATCAGCATTAGCAATAACTCGTACTGCTATATTCTGCTTTTTTGGTAATTTATCCACATAACTATTTTCAATATTCTCAAAGAAAATCACAATAATCAAAAAGAGACATGTAGTTTGTTCACATGTGCAATCTAACAAAGCGATGTATAAATCTTGATAGGCCTACCAAGATATTGGAAACGTTCGACGGCTTGATTGCCAATCAGCAATTTTAAAATCAAATCCGCAACACTATATTATTTCTTAAAAGAACCAAACATAAGTCATTTTTTTGTCAATATTTAAATAATTTGTGCGTGGTTTTTATCTTTAGTTGACATAATTTAGCCTCTTGTTTATAAAAAATATTGCATTATTTTTCTATTTAGACCCTTTTTGCATGTTACTGTTCATCAACTTCTGTCGGTTCGTAGTCAAACTCCAATCCCGAACTATTCAATGCATCTTTCAATACTGCATCTATAAGTTTGTTCTGCGCAACTGTAAAGTGATTCATCCAATCACCAACGCAACCTGAATAACAATAAAATACGCATAACAACAATCATCACTTATATACCGGTACCAAGATTAATATTAGGCCACACCCCCATAAAGTCTAAATAGAAAGTGAAATTGAAGAACATCGATATAATTGCTATCTAAATCAACGGTGGCGGAACGTTTTTTAATGTGGTGGGCGGGGGGAGGTTTCATAAGGTCCATTATGCGAGCATCTAGACTGGGGGTCAGGTGGCCGCCAAGGGGCCCCCAGTGGAGGGTCATGGTGCAAAACCCCCTGAAAGCTACTGCTATTTGACGAAGTTTGGTGAATTTTATTTATTTATTTGTGATTATGGCACCTATAGATGGCAGCCTGGAGATTGCAGTTCCAGACATAAAATTTGAATATAATTTTCTTTAAAATCTCATTTTTTTTTTAATTGAACAATTTAAGGAAGGGGAACGGGCCGGCTGGGCCCCTTGAACCCGCCACTGGGACCTATATCACCTCAGCCCCCCCCCCCCCCATGGTTGGGGCTGAGAGAAAATTAGTGATTATGGCACCTCTAGATGGCCGGAAATTGCACTCTCAGACTTAATATATAGTTTTCTGTTATATAGGCCTAATCTCCATTTAAAAAAAAAAAAATGAAATTTAGGCCCCCACCCTTAAATCTGCCACTGATTTTCGAACAAATTCGAAGTAAAGATTGATTCGACGATCTCAATGAATAAAATGGATAAAAATTACCATTATATATTAGCCCAGAAATGATACTCCAGCTGTGGCAGGTGTAGGAAGTCGAAATATAGGGGAACCAGGGGTGGGGGAGGTCATGTGCAAATACAGTGTCCACCTAACTCAGCCCCACAAAGGTTGGAGTTATTATGATTATGGCACTTCTAGAGGCCCGGAAATGACACTCTCACATTAAAAGTTGAATACAATTTTGTCTGATTTCTCAATTTTTTTTATATAATTTTAAAAATTAGGAGGTTGGGGTCCCGTGCGCGCGTCCCGTGCTGATTGGCTCCTCCTTGAATCCGCCACTGTTCAATATATAACACTTGACATAGCCTATGGTTTTGTTTCACAAATAACTAATTCCTAAATGTCAAGCGAAAGATGTTTGTTATTCGAAAGATTTTTTATTCAATACTTTTTTTACACCCTATAACACATTAACTACAGTATCGCTCTATAAAGTGTGCCTACCTCCACCCTATTTATAAACACATAATTCACGAAGGCGGGCGATTCCATTCTTTTTTCTTCATGTTCGATGGTGGGTTTAAAGGGAACGTCAATCAACATTTGGTTGCTCAACTCAAAATGGGAACTTGTAATGTTAGTTAGAAAATGAAAACATAAAACTATATTTTATAATAATAATAATAATAATAATAATAATAATAATAATAATAATATGTCACTGGTGCTGGGAGCAGTCACAAAAGTAGATTTGGAGGGAGGCCCCTAGTAGAAAAAGTTGGGGGCATAGCCCCCCAGGCTCCCGCTTCCGCCGCCGTTGATCTAAATGAGACTAATTAGTCTAATTATAAATGGTTAGACTCATTATTTTTGTTCTATTTGTAATCTCCACAAATTTGAATTGCTATATATAAAAAAAAACATTACAAGCATGCTAAAGGAGTCGAGAAACATAAGCTGTTTTTTGTGGCAGTATAGGCTGTGGGGGTGCTAGACATTTGGAGAAGGTAATTATTTGTTTCGTAGGTAAGTTTGGTAAAATGCCATGAATTATTCACAACTCTTCTTAAAGAACCTATTTTGCGCATGCGGTACTTTCAAGTCTGTGTCAGTCCATGGTCAGTCTGATATCAGTTATTCTGTACATTATCGCGATAGAACCTAGAGTTTTCACATTTGTATGGGCCTTGTATTTAACTGAATGCAAAATATGAAACCAGAGATTTAATTTACGCAATTGAATCTGAATTGTATTAGATTCGCCTAAATTTACTATTCGGAAAACAACAATTACATGATGATAAACATCAGACAGAAAGAGATCAAGATTTTCGAAGAAGGGTAGGCCCTAGGCCTATACTGTATTTTCAGCAGTGGAGTAAGGGAACTCCACTGTGTCGTAGACTTCGCTCAACACGGGGTTCCCTGAACGCCGCCCTCAGCGGCGTGTGCGAAGCACAACTCAGTGTCAGAAGTGGAACGTAAAATTTCGATATGATTTTGTAATCAGATTTGCGAAAAAAGTTTCAGCTAACCGTATTTCTCGACCGAGACGTCAGTGGGAGCTGTCATTGGCGTACCTATGGGGAGGGGTTCAAGGGGGCACGTGCCCCGGGCGCCAGGTTTGAGGGGGCGCTGAAATGGGAGAATGAGAATAAAAAATTTAGCACTTTTTAGAAAAACACGACGAAATTGATCTATTTAAATTCGCCAGGCATGAATAATAATGTAAGCAACTGATATTAGGCTGACCATGGCCTGAAACAGACTCGAAAGTAGTCCATGCACAAAATATGTTTTATATGAAGAGTTATGAAAAGTCAAGAAGTTTTACCAAAATTACCTACGAAAACAAAATTTGCTTGGGGCAGTATAGGTTATGAGGGTGCAGGGCATCTTTACATCTTTACTATCATGTTCCAACATGGTTTAAAAAATTAAATATCATAAATATTCAATCGTCCAGGTACCCTATCTACTTTCTCCAATGTGACTAACAGGCTCCGGTTTACTTTTCTGGCCAAACAAGTTCGATGTGAGGGACACATCCAGCGTTGAACGACCAGGATGCACACCGGAGTCGGAGTCGCCAGCGTAAACAACACCGAATTTGAGTTTGGATTAAAGGCCTTAACTACCAATTCTGTGGTCAGCTAGGCCTATAACCTTTGCTGGCAACGTGCTAGGCTAATACATTTTTCAAATTAAACCTCCTGCGCTTCCGTATATGCAACAATCTTGCTTAATTTGCATAATAAATAAAAAATCAGCCCATACGTTGCTTCAATATTGACAATAATTGCAGCTCCATCACGACTCGCACAACTTGATCGACAAGTTTGGCCACCATGGACCGTCATCTCAGCTTGCGAACATAGCGTGTGTGCATCTTTTGATCTGTTGCATCAACAATCCGATACTAGTTGGGAGTAAAGCCGTCAATTATTAGTTTAAGAATGGCATAAGTTTGATGATGTTAGTTGGTGTTACCTTTTCTCATAAACTTGGATATATTTTGATCAAAGTCTTCGAGACCTGTAAAATTTGCCATTGGGTTTTGACTCATTTTCTCGAAAGTACAATGATCAACAGTTTTGTGGAGGGCCTCGTCAGATAACTTCTTTCCAATATGGTCACATATTTTGGTTACTGCGCCTCGAAGGTCCTATATTGATAATTATTCAGCATTGTAACATAAATTTACTTAAGAAAGTATAATACATACCCCAAGTATTGAAATACACGCCATCGTGTTGGGATTCAATATTTCGACATTAATTATGTCATCATCAGGAATGATGATGACATAATTAATGTCAAATA